TAATTTCATCTGGTCTTGTTGATATGATCCATCAACAGAAAAGCAAGTATTATTTTATGCTTATTTGATGAGACTTCAACATCATTAACAGGCCTCTTAGAATGTGGAAAGTGCATTTCTGAGCCCCAACAACAAAAATCCTGGGGAGGCCTCCATGAACAACCTGTATACACTACCTAGCCATCCTCCATTCTTTAATCCTAGATCAGCCACTGCTCAAGCTGTAAGCAAATTTTTTATTGAATTGGTCTTATTTTTATCTTCCACATCACCAATGGAAATGAAATACCTTCATTTAATAAAATATTTAAGATTCAAGATTGCTTTATTATCATTAACCAAACATGTGATGAAATCAATTCTTTTTGCCTGCTGCATACAATATTACATTACATATTATTATTGGAAGCATCATCACCATAAAATTATTAAAACACTCAAAATTTATGTATTAATATAAATTATTAGTATTTTATTAATATTACTATGTTTATACTGTAGGGATATCTCCAAAATACAATTTACACAAACATATTGTATTTCTTTATTTAATAGCAGCATTTATACAAATTTGAATGACATTATTTACTCCACTATATATCTTGTATATTTTACCTTATTCTCTATATTTACATCAGCCCCGGCATCCAAAAGAAGTCTTGCAATATTAAGGTGATCTCTGAATTTATGTTTGGCTTTTAACAGCTTGTGAAGCGGAGTCTCTTTATACTGTAACACATTGGAAACAAAGAGAGTGAATCAATAAATGACAGCTCATATGATCATATTAATCAACATTCAAAGGAAATCCACACTTATTCTTAAATTTTAAACATTAATAATATAAAATACTAGTGCACAATAATACAATTAAACTGAATGAGTTTTTTAGGAATACAAACAAAAGTAATTTTTTTCTACTTGATTCTCTCTCGCCCGGTTCATCACTTTTAAGGATGTAACCTCAGGAGAAGTATTTATTATTTTTTTATTCAGTAGTTACTTTAATTTTTTTATTGTTTGTATCATGTTATGCAAATTTCAATATTTTTTGTATGAATATATTTCATATGAATTGAAATAAAAGTGATTTAACATCAACATTCAATGACTATAAATCAACACAATTAAGAGAAATTGTGATACAAATAATGTAAAATAGTAATTTAAGCAATCATATTTGGTGGGTATGTCATTAGGACCTTTGTGGAATGTCCCTACCAGCGATGTATACTTCAGTAGGGTGGGGTATGCTGGTCATAAGGCATTATTGGAGTGACATTCTAGTAGACAATATTACATTGTCACTTGTTTTCTGTCATGATTTATTTCTATCATGTAATTATGTTGTGTGGATGGCCCACTGGCAATATGAAAGAAATTAAATACTGAATTGAATTAAATTGAATCTAGCAGAAATCATCAGAGAGACGTGGCAGTGCCAGGGTGGGTAGGGTGTGTAGAAAAACAAAAGAAGTTTGGATGGGCAAGTCTCATAGTCATATCCAGGGCCACGTGAGGAGTAGGGGTTCTTGTCTGGAGACAAGGGCCGTCAAGGTTTACTGAGATGGAAGGTTGGATCAGAAATAATAATAATAATAATAATAACAATAACAATAATAATAATAATAATAATATTAAATAATAATAATAATATTAAATAATAATAATATATATTTTTTAACCATGGAAAATTAAAAATTGAACAGTAAAATTTATTAAATACAAAATATTAATGCTGTTCTTCACTAATTCCATGGATACAACAACATGGAGAACAATACGAAAAAGACGATATAAGATAGAACCATTATTAACATTAGAAAAATTAGCAAATTAAATGGATTAATATACCCTGGCCTAGTAGATGGTAGGCCTAGCCTAGGATAGTCTAGCTTTGACCTCCTGTATTTTAATGCTAAACAAACATTTAGGCCTAGGCCTATAGACTTAATAGGAGGCTACTACTAATATGCCTATAATAATAGTAATTACATCATTCATAAGACATGGGCAGCTCGACTCCACAAGCCAGGCCTTGCATTTCACAGCAGCCTTTTCTATAGACAAGTGTCACCGTCAAACAGGCCTTAATCAAGTGCCAAGGTCTGTGACTTAAATAACACGTAAAAGTTTCAAATAATGTGTCTGGGCCTAGCCTACTGCTCAGTTGGGCATCGAATTGGCTCAACAAAAAAAAAAAACCCGTCGAAGTATCAAAAACTAAAACCATATGAGGCCTATATTTCACGAAAATTAGTATTGTTTATTGTTTAAGTCTTGGCTATTAACAATGATAATGAAATTGTGATAAATGCTTGTGATGATGGATTAATAAATTTGAAGATGGTGAATTGTCATTTAGTGTTGATAATGAATAATGTGTTGTTTCCTATATATACGTACGTTGCTTTGCAAATTGACATTGCGTGCAGAAATCATCAGAGATTTTCTCATTTCCTGTGCATAGCCGAGTTCTGCAAAGTGATGTAGAATACACTTACCAGAGTCCTACACAATGAACAAGGAATATGAAAACAGAGAATACAACACATCATCACTTCAAAAAAAATATTTTTTAGGTAATTTAATTTTATGGAGTATCTAATTAAAATTGCAATTATTGAATTCAGTGCTCAATACAGATCAAAACAAGATCAAACACGATTGTGAAATTTTCATGTAAAGCTGATTTTCAGCAAACTATAAACCAATTTTTTACATTCATTTTGCTGTATCACACAACATGGACGCCCTATGTTTTGTACAAAACATGTTAAAAATCATCATTTAAAAAAACAATTAGGTATTTTTATGGAAAATTTAATTAAAAGTATAATTATTCAATCCAGTGTTCAATGTGGACCAAAACAACACCAAACAAATGGAATTTTTTTATGTAAACCTGATTTCCAGCAATTTTAGAAGTTTTTTTTGGCCCATGATGAACTGCTGCCACTCAGCCAAGCAATGTAAAGAAATGTTGTTATTTTTACACGTTAACGATGCGGAAATTTAAACAATAAATGATCGATATTGATCGTAAAATACAATAAAATATCATATTTATATTGTGGATAAATGATTAAAATATGTTTTAAGTGTAATAAATTGTTGTTGTCAGGTAAGAATTGATGTAGAGTGGTGTATGGTATGTTGTGTATAGATGCTGTGTTGTTGTATTTTGTGTGTTGATGTCGTAATTGTAATGATACATAATTCTACTCACCACCGGCTCCACGTAGTCTACAGCTTCTGCCGTCGCTGATTTCAAACTCTCAGCGACGACATCACGTGATGCGCTGTACAACACAATCAGATATAATAACGGGCGGCCGCCCTACGAAAACAACAAAATACGATGATAACAATTAAAACACATTCAACTATCACACATACACAAAATATCACATATAAACAAAACTTAATCACATCATAATTACATTAAATAATCACAATCAATTAAATATTCAAATATTATTAAAAATTAAAGCTAAATCGTTTAAAATCGTAAATTTTAGCATTTTTTTTCTGAACGCTTTTCCCTATTCTTTTGCATTGAAAATTTTTTAGTTCATTTAGGGTTTTGTTCAGATCATAATTTTTTATAAATTTTGTATTTTTAACATTCTAGATATATTTCTTTTGTATAAAGGTTTGAAAAGAATACAGACAATGATATGTTTTATCCACTAGTTAACATTTTTCTTTATCATTAGGCCTATGCTGACTTCAGAGAAAATTCCCTATTCTTTATCATTTAGATACATAAAATCTGTTATCCCATTTGTTCGGAATCATATTTTTTTTGAAAATCTATATTTTTAAGATCATATTTGACTTTCTTTTGATTAGAGTTTTAAAAGTAATCCAAACACATATATGTTTTAACGAATAATTAATGATTTTACCAACCTTTCAACCTATACTACTTTCAGACAAAATCTGCCTATTCTTTATTATTAGATACATAAATTCTGTAGACCCATCTGATCGGAATCATATTTTTTTGGAAAAGCTATATTTTCAAGATCATATTTGACTTTCTTTTGATTAGAGTTTTAAAAGTAATCCAAACACATATATGTTTTAACGACTAATTAATGATTTTACCAAGCTTTCAACCTATGCTATTTTTAGACAAAATCTGCCTATTCTTTATCATTGGATAAGGCCGGCCTACCATGGGCACGTCTCTGTTCGGA